TAAAGCATTACCAACGCAATAATTTGCTGCATGAGATCAATTACACAGGCTGTCTGAAAAGGAACGGTTTTTATTTTATTGTGTAAAATAACTTTTTTTTTGCTTCTTTAAGCTCTTCTCACCAATTAATTGTCAACATAAAATTAGTGTCTCTCCATCAAACAATCTTGATTCAAACATCCAGATGTGGTGACACTTATTTTTCAGCAGAGATATTTCCAGGAACAGAAGGCAGCTCAGGACAGAAAGGGAGAAAAATGGCAGCTGCTGGTGGGTTTTCCTTTCTGCTGGGATCTCCACTGAGCATCTTCTAATTGTTTCACCAAAATCACAAACTGGAATGGAAAATATGATCATTTCATTGTTGACTTAGGACAAAACACGAACACAGACGGTAAGCCAAAGGAGAGAGTTTGGGCTGCAGATGGTGTGGATTAAGTTACACAGAACTGAGGATTCAGAAAAAAAAAACACATGATGTACTATCTCTATCCTCCTATTTTCATTTCCCTGGTTGACTGATTGACTGATTGGCTGACTGAGCACCAGAAGACAGAAGTGAAAGGAGGAAGGAACTCGAAAAGATATTTCCATTTTCCTTTCCCTTCCTCCGTAAGTTCAGGAGCTGCCTTCTACTGAAAGGAGATGGCAATATAACTTGCAAACTGAGACATCGAGGCTGAGTCCCAGAGCATAATACTAAAAGTAAGAACAGCTCTCTTGCTATTCCTAGTTTTAAAAATGGCAATTTTTCACCCGGGATCCAGCAAACCTTGAAAGTAGGGATTAAAATAACCTGCCAAAAAAATATACCCAATTTTCCATTACAAACCTCTCCTCCACACACACCCTCCACATCCGGATAAGGTAGTGTACAAGGGTTCTGATGGGGACCACACTGTAAATGGATTACATTTCCGCATGTATAGTCCGGAAGTTGTTAAAGGTGAGTAACATCATGCCGAAAGATCTTAGTTCGCCATGGAGACATTTCCACTCATGTTCTATACACATTTCTGCCCTACTTTACATATTTCTTTTCAAATGGAAGTCTGACCTAGAAAATCGTTAAAACGGTAGTCTCTTGCAGAGAGTTAAAGTGAAATCAACGTATATGAACATGTCCAAATTATCAACATTCCAGATGCAGATCACAGTAGGTCTTTTTTATTGTTCAGAGAGCCTCTTCCTCTGCAGCATTAGTTTCTTTCTTTTTTTTCAAAAGGAAAAAAATCTCAGGACGTAAGCAGATGCATCAAACCACTCAAAGCAGTCTCCCCAAGGCACCGTCCCCTGATCTGCCCAAGGGAAAACCTCCCCTCCTGACTGAAGTGGAATATGCCAAAACACAATCTTCCTTCCTCCATTCATCACGGAGGGGGTCTTACACATGATTAAAAAACAGAAGAGAGAAAATAGCAATAAGCATTCAAATAATGCAATACCCTTTGGTGTGGTCTAAATTTTGGGCAAAGGAGGTCCGAAGTCCCTTCCTCATGCCTGCCTCATAAAGTGGCATCGGGAGAAGCTCAAGGGCAACTCCCGAAGGCAAGAATGGGGAAGATTGGACTCTGCCCCACGGAATAAGGCTGGGACTCCTTGTTTGAAGAAGTCCTTTCACGAGATGCTCCGAGGCCTCAAGGAGTCTCCTCCCTCCACTCAGGGCCCACGGTGTTCTAAATAGGTAGCAGTGATCAATTCCAATATGGCCATTCAGAAAAGAAAACAGCAATTAAAAATGCAACAGAGCCACCAGCACAGTCTGCCGTAGATCTGGATGGAATTCCTACACCAGGGAAATTAAGGCAGCCTTGGGCAAGTTCTCCTCATAAACCTGGGAAGAGAACATGGCACCGACATCAAGCCATCGGTCAGCTTCCCTTAAAACAGATCTACCAGAAGCCTCTATCATTTCAGATTACAAGTGGAGGCTGAAAGGCCTGAATGCTCCCTCGTGCATCATGAATGCGTCGCCTTGGGCCTTCCTCCTCCCCCAGTGCCATTTTCAAACTGAATGGCCCACTTGCAGCCCAACATTTCACATTGTGGCTTAGAGAAAGGACCATTTGACAGCAGGCACACTGGCTAGAAGGCTGCAAAGTCAGTACCTTTCAGGTATCTCACAACCAGGTCTTAAGAGGAGGAGAAGAAAATGCCCACCTCCATCCAAAACTTTATTTAAGCTAAAGAGGTCCCAGCATGGAGCTATAAAAAGGTAGCACGTGGTCATGCTCTCTGACTACTCTGTCCTAATGCCCAAGTAAAAGCAATAAAAGAGGCTCTGGTCTTCCTTTCCATCTCATCTGAGTGACAATCCTATTAAGTTTGTCATTTGTGCACATTCTATCTCCACTGTCCCATTCAATAGGGTTAAAGAATCTGGATATCTAAGAGATCAACATAAAAATGGCCAATATGGTCAATAAAGATGGTCCTTTTCAGGGTTCAATGGTCATCCAAAAGAGCTTCCTGCTTTCCAAACCTTACAGGTGCCCAGGTGAGACGTGAAGCAGCAGCCAAGAGCTGAGAAAAAAAAAACCTGTTATGTTCTCCCTGCAGCTTACCTGTGAGTTGAACGCAGCGTGCCGGTTTTGAATCATAGTTTCTCGGCAACTTAACCAGCCTCCCCATTTTGCTTGGCTAGAATCTAAAGATATGTACGAAGTCTGTGGCTACTACTACCTGACTGAGGAGCTACTACATCTGCCTCATGAGATCACAAGTTGCTCTGGCCTGCTGTATCTCAACGAAACTGGGAAAACTTCAGTGGGTCGCTCCTTTGGTTTAGCATTCTCAAAATGCACCCATTTGGACAAGCCACCAAAGATCTAATCAGCGGACAGGCAGCAATGTCAAGAAGGCAGGCAGGCACTGGGGAGGGAACAGAGAACCCGGAATGCTCCTCCTCACCTACCATGTTGGGGCTTTGGGATGCCCCACCCCACCCCGTAACCCATCCCTCCTGCCATTAACTCCTCCCCCAAATTAAGTGCACAAAACAATCCTCATTCCTGGAATGCACCTTGAATGCCACACAGGAGAAGAAAATACAGCATTTTGCCCCGCCACCCGCCACCCCTCCCCCCAAGCACCCTTTCCCCCCCGATGGGGTCCAACATGCTCAGAAATCATCAGCTGCTAACTCCAGCTGGGGTCATAGCCTGTCCAGTCAGGAGGTGGAGCCAGGTAAATACGGCGGCCTCGGTAAAGGAAGCTGACAATGCCCTGATACCCAGCACGGGGCACTCCTGATTTGAGGTCATCCATAACCCCCAAGGCTTTTGCAAAGGCCTTGAAAGAGTCACGGGTGGTGTACTGCACTCGGACAGTACCCAACTCCCGGTGCTGGTTCCCCTGTAGTTCTTCCACGCGCAGTTCAGGGGCCTCGTAGACCTGGGCCAAGAATGAGTGCTCGTAATTATTCTTCTTGAGGTAAGAAAGGTCCATCTGGGTGAAAGGCACAAAACGGTCATTGAGCTTGATGAACTTCAGATATTGGTCAAAGAACTGACCGTGGCTCACACCTTTACGGCCAAAAGTCATTGTGCGTGACACTTCAGGCCTGATGCACGAACGGCCCTGCCGCTGTTCAGGCTGTCGCATCCAGTCGTCCCAGAAAGCCTTGGGCCACTTGGGTTCCAGTTCGCCCCACAAGTCAGAGAGCAGAAGCCAGCCCAGACCAGGGAAAAAATCAGTACGATAGAGAAGTTCGGGATGGGCAACGTCCACCATCTGTTCCTTGCCATTATCGTTCCAGGCAGAGACACACCAAAGAGTTGGGTCATCCAGTAGAAGTGGGAAACTCGCTTGAAAATATTCAAAGAAATCGGGAGCGACTTCCAAGTCGTCTTCCACTACAATGGCTGCTTGGTATTTGAAAGTCCGGAAAACTTGGCTCAAGGCCCAGCGATAGTGTCGAGCAATTTTGTAGTATCCCTGAAACTTGCGATGGTCAGTAGGCACAGGGATGTCACTTAAATTGGGCTGCTTGATGTGCACGATAGAATCTCCATAGGAGGCAATGACTCTAGCGGTTTCCTCATGTCCGCAGTCCTGGCTTACAATGATGGGGAATCGCTCCTTTGAGGGACGGTAATGCAATAGTTTATCTAGACAACGGCGGACTGTGCTGCGGTCACAGGCAATCACCACCACAGGCAAAACAGCATCGGGCGATATCTGACTGCGATGGGGCGAGAGCGCAGCTGTGGGAGGCTGGACCGACACTGCAGCTGGCAGGTGGAGGGTTTTGGCCTTCCGTTTGTTCCAGAGTGAACTATAGCGGTAGATCTGATGTAAGAGATCCTTTTGGCGCTCTAATTCCACCTCGGCATCCTGGGCCAGTCGGATCACCTCTTCAGTTAAGCGGCTATGGTCCGATAAAGACTGTGGCCGAGTCCACAGGAAGAAAAGGATCAGGGCGTTCCAGGCCACAAAAAGCACCAGACCCCAGACAATCAGGCTATTTTTCTTCAGCATCCTTCACAGGCATAGGCCGCACCCTCTCCTCTTATGTCCACCCCTGGATGAGCTTCAAGTGGCCACCATCAACCTGAAAAATGAAGGATAAAACAGTGTTAATGATTCATCTGTCTTTCCCCTCCTTCACCACTCGGATTATCGTCCGGTTGCACTTATGTCCGTCATGGCGAAACGTTTGGAAAAGTACTTTAATCTAGCCAGCCTCCCTCCATCATTTGACTCGCTTCAGTTTGCTCACCGGGGAAATCGCTCCACAGAGGACGCTATTTCCTCTGTTGTTCTCCATCTGAGCTTGGCGCTCTTAAGAGGAAAGAAAAACTCATGTGTGGATGCTGTTTGTCGATTTTAGTTTGGCATTTAATACAATCACTCCTCAGCGTTTAGTAGACAAATTGGGCCTTTTAGGCTTTAATACTCCTTTGTGCAATTAGATTTTCACACTGATACACCCCAGAATGTGCTAGTTGGGACTAATATTTCTAACACATTTTTGAGCACATGTATTCAAAATGGACCGAGATAGATAGATAGATAGATAGATAGATAGATAGATAGATAGATAGATAGATAGATAGATAGATGATAGATATAGAGTATACACACACACATATAGAGAGAGAAGGCATATGAATTTCATTTTAATGTGTGCCGTTGTGTACCCAGAAAAGGTCTGTCTGTCCATCCATCCATCCATCCATCCATCCATCCATCCATCCATCCATCCATCCATATCTTTTAAAATTGAATTGTTTCTCATGATTTGTTTTAAATATCAGATAAAATTAGATTTTGCTGAGTGTTTTTGAAAGAAGCATTTTTGCTCTGAGTTAGATAAGCTGCTCTCTAAATGGTTCCCAAATGATTTTTGCACTTGCTTCTTAATCTAATCAAAGGCTATATATGAGCCTGCAATTTCACTGAAGAACTGTATGTAAGCATGCACCACCGTTGTTTCCTAGTTCAAAATTACGTTATGAAGGCAAAACCAATCTACCTAGATCAGGATATACAACATTTTCTTGACTAAAGGTCACAATTGCCCCCTAAATGATGTGGAATCAGTCTGAATGAGAATAACATTTCATTTATTTCAATTAAATTAAATTAAATTAATTGTGATTAATGTTACTCTCCCATACTTCTCTTTTGTTAAATGTAAAAGTTTTTTTAAAAAGCACACGTAAGCAAGTTAACAAGGAACTTATATGCTTGCATTCATTTTAAACAGCTCTTGCATAAAATGAAACAGGAAATCTCACCCAAGAACAAAAAATGAATTTGTGATTTATGGTTTTGACAATTATAGACAGGCCAGATTATAGAAAGAAAAACATGATGCAACTTTGGAGAGAGTGGCTAATGTATTTGTACTTGTAAAATGCTCTGAAGAATATCAGAAGCGACTTAAGATCCTTTTTGTTTATTTTCTATATTTTATCTCTCGCACTTTCTGCTTTTTTCTAATTTTTTCCCCTCTCCCTTTATGTTTGGGCTAGTTTTTTATATTCTTGTTGAAAAGTTTTACTAAAAATTATGTACAAAAAGAAATGACAAAATAGAAAACAGCATTTTTAATATACCAATATGCAGCATCACCAAGTTTAAAATGGCTATTTTTGAACAAGGAACATAAAAAAAATAGACTGCAAGATAAGCAGCTAAACTGAACAGAGACTCAAGCCCTTATCATCTCAAAACAAACAGTTCTCAAAGGGTGGTCTGGGGATCCCAAGGTCTTTTCAAGGGATCTGCAAAACCAAATAAAGAAATATTTAAACACTTCTCCGTTTAAATTTCCAATACAGTAAATATTGATAGATATAACCCACAGGAATTACCATTCTTCAGAGTCCTCAAATAATTTGAAGAATGTAAAGGGATCCCAAGACTAAAATGTTTGACAACCATTGACCTAGACTACTAGAGTTGTCTATATCGGGCTGCTCCTGGATATACCTGGTGCAAAATATTGCTGCCCACCTGCCGACAGATGAAAGCTATGGTAATTCCAGTGCTTTTAGTAACAGCACTTGCTTCTGGTTTGTTTCTAGGTGAATTCTAGAAGCTGGTTTATTACCGAGGTCCAAGTTATATTCAAGACCCTCTCCTCTAAATGCCCAAAACTGTTTGGGGTCAGGTGGTTTCTAAATGTATTAATTAAAACAGTGATTAGAATCTGCTCATGAAGTAGGAGCAGGCCACAGTAGGAGCATGTTGTAGATATCCCCTTCCCAGGATGTCAGTGAGTAGAGATTTGAAAACAGGCCTTTTTAGACATAGTCCTCCAACTACAGAGCAGCTGACAACAACTCCTTTGTAGAATGTTTGGGGGGTGGGGTGGAGGGAAGGATGATTAGAGGCAACTTCTGGTTTCCATGCTGGCTCACTGCTGTGTAACAACCTATATGTGTTTTTATAATGTGATGTTTTTGTAATTCTTAGAATATTGTTTTATTTGTTATTGCTGCGTTGTCCTTTCATTTGTTTTTATTGTGCTATGAGTCACCCAGTATTTCTTTGAATCTTGGAAAGAGGTGCCGTGCAAATGATAAAACCAACTAAACAAAACCCATCCAGGTTTTATTTCTATCCAATAAAATTAGGCTTTATAAGAATCAGAAAATATTATTTCAATTGTATTGGAACAGACTAACATAACCACTCTTTTAGAAATTGTATTGCAGAGTTTAGAATTCCTATATTTAAAATCTTTTTCTTTCTTTCTTTTTCTTTCTTTCCTTCCTTCTTTTCTTTCTCATATTATCACAGAATAAGCTTCAGGTTTTCCCTGATATGACTAGACATATAAATGCCTTAACTCCATTAAACTTAAAAGAAGAAAACGAACAAAAATATATCATTTCTTGTATTGGCAGGCAGGGACATCCACACTTATGTGCCAAGCCAGGCTCAAACCAATGATAAGAAGACAAAGAGATTGTTCATTTCGGAAGTGCAGTGTGAGATAAATACCTTGATAAAACATCTCTTTTCCTAATTCTGGTAGACCTCCCAAATAGGTAGGTCTGGAGACAGCCTAAACCTATTTTTGCCCCGGGTAAATAATAACAGTACTGCCTTTTATGTGAGTGGTGACAGGAAAACGACATGGGGATGATACTCACACATCTTTTCTGAATTATATCACCAGAATCCTTTTACTCTTCCTTAACAAATCATTTTCATCCTGTTTCCACCTCCACAAAACCTTAAAGACTTGACTTCAGACTAATAAAAGGGTTTGAGTCATTAAGTGCATTCCATCTGCATAATTTATTTGGAAATACAATTCCACCTTTTGGAGGAAACAAGTATGAACAGCTATCCTTTCAGAGTCACAAAACTCCCCTCAACTTGGCTTCTTAAGAAAAGAGAATGGTTGGGCCGTTGTTTCAATAATATATAAAAGTAAATAAAACATAAAAAAGAATTAAAAGGAATAAGTTAAAAACAAAACAAAAAACCCTCAAAGGGCAGACTTGATATACCAGTAAGTCTTTTTCTGCTATTAATTTTCTATGTTTCTGGGACAATTGCATATTTAAGGAACATTTCTTTCTTAAGCAACTGGGGTGCCTCTGTAGCAGTACCATCAAGGAAAAAAACCTGGAAATATTCAGGATGGCTTTGCAACACATAGTCTATTTAATGTTCTACTTCAATTTCCACGGCTTCTACATTTAGGAACACATCAATTTGTTGACATTGAACTCAGAAGATAAATAGTTACCGTAAAAAACAACTGATTACCAACTAGAGGTCACACAGGTAGTCCTTGACTTATAACAATTCATTTAGTGACCATTTGAAGTTACAGTGGAAAAAAGTGACTTGTGACAGTTTCTCGAACTGCCTTGTTTAGCAACTGAAATTTTTGGCTCGGTTGTGGTCATAAGTCAAGTACTACTTATACCTGGGCCAGCTATTTCTCCTGGTTATAAGGAAAAGACTGCAGAATACTCCTTGAGCCTACTGAAGTTATATACCAAGGCTTTGTTTTTAGTGTGGAAAATGATGTTTTTAAGTCAAATGATAGCTTAACCAGGCAGGAATTTGAGCTCTGATGCAAATGAAATGATATATAATGCCTGACTGGCATTAGTAGGCTGAGAAACACCTGGGCACAATTCAATTAGAACAGAGAAGCTTCAATTAGAACAGAGGAACCCTAGGGGAGGGGTTATTAGACTCAGCAGATGTTTCCAGAAAGTTTGGTTATTGTTATTGTACATGCTAGAGATGTAATCAATATAAGTAACATTAGTGCCTATCCTCTGGTGGTTCTCCCCCCCCCCCAAATAATACTATGGGGAATTACATTGTTGGAAAGAAGTTAAAGGCAAAAATATTAATGTATTGTTAAATTATTCCCAAAATGTGGAGCATGTCCTTCTCACTTATTCTCTCTCTCCCCCTCTCACTCCTTCCTCCCTTCTTCTCTCATTCTCTCTCACTCCCTCTCTCTCTCCTACACACACACACACACACACACACACACACACACACACACAAAGATGTAGTGATGATTAAGCATTCGTGTGGAAGAACCCGAATATAAAAGCTGGTATAATGAATCTGTCAACTCTCAGCTTTTGAATTGGCTCTTCTCTATCACCAGAGAGGAACCAAAGGCGAGATAATTCCATGGTCTAGATTTAATCTTCTGCTATAAAAACAAACTGAACAAACTGTTGTGGGGGGGAGGTCTGCAATAATAATGGGGACTACTGCTAACTGACTAAGCCCCTGTTTTAATGATTAGAATGGCAAGGTAGCTAACATACTTTTATTAATAACGTCTGCTGAGCAGACAAGCATGGAAGGAAGTTCCAGAGAATATCAGCATGAAAACTTAAATGTAAGACTGGGATCATTGTGTCCTATGATGCAGTAAAAATTAGGCAATATAAAATGGTTTGCCTGACCTTTCAATTTCCTGTGACATCATTCATGCCAAATTTACTGCGGCAAGTGATATCTGGTTCACGTCCACTTCAATTTGTGACTTTGAGTGAATCAAGCTCTCTCTGTGCCTAACTTACATCAAAGCAGGATTATTTCAGGAAAAACTGAAAGAGAATGTTATGTAAGGGAAAAAAAGTGGGCTATAAACTTAACAAGTAATCACTTGACTCTATAGACTCAGTTGGTCTCTTCAAAACAAATCCCTGATCGTCTTAACTCTGCTATGGTCTCTGCTGCTTAGCAGCTGCATCAGTAGTCTTAATTCCCCTTCAGCAAAAGTTCCAGCACTGCATTAAGTCTTTTGGGAGACTCCCTATAATTAACACCTCAGGTTTGCAGGCACTTTGGTACTTGATCTTACTGCACTTTTTAAAAACAAACCAAAAGAAAACATTCCTACTTGATATATCAGGTATGATCTATAGAAGGCAGCTATTATCTAGCACTCTTTGTGGGATGTGAAACAAGTGCGTTGAAAGGAAAGAGAACAGCCCCGCAGAAACGTCACATTTGGTTTACTCTACTGGGAACTGAAGTGTAGCCATATCTTAAGGCACAACATATAATAAATAAAAAGTAAAATGAACAGCAGTCTAAACTGAACTGCAGCCTTTTACAATCTAATTTTCTCCAGACAAAGTAGTTTATGGTAATCTCAGCTAGCACATCCAATCCAGACTAGGATTTCTGTCTGTGTGTGTGTGTGTGTGTGTGTGTGTGTGTGTGTGTGTATTTTTTGAGGTCTTCTTACCCTGTCAACCAACTCCTCCGCCTGGGCCACAAGCCAACTGGGAAACCCAAGTTTTAATACCCTTCCGGAAGTCTAAAATGGCGGGAGTTCTCACCTCCGGTGGTAGAGCGTTCCATCGGAATGGAAGCCACAGTGGAAAAGGCTCTTCTCCTTGACCCTGTCTGCTGGAACTGCTTAGCAGATGGGGTCCACAATAGACTTCTTTAGCCAGAGTGGGGCAGGCTAGTCCAATTTGGGTGACAGGTCTCTTCAGTTTTCCTGGCAAGATTTCAAAAGTAGCCAATGTCTGCTTCCTAGGCTGAGAGAGGGACTGGACCAAGGTCACCCAGCTGGCTTTGTGCCTAAGGCGGGTGAAGAATTCTTGGTCTCCAGTCAAGTGCCTTAACTACTACACAAACTGATTCTCTGATAACTTCCTGGTTACTTTAGACCCACATTGTCAACTCATAAAATCATTCTATGGTCTTTTAGAGTTGCCAACAGAAAGGGAGGGGGGAGCAGTGCAACAGCTTGCAATCAAAACTGCATCCCATAAATGTTTTCAAGATAGTAACTAGGTGACCGAAGTTTCTGCCACGCAAAATTCTAACTTGGAGAGCATGATTGATGACTCCTGGATATGGATGTGTCCCATTGGAGAATATGAATTATGATACACCCAGGGGGTGCGGGAAAACCAGGGTCAAGGGTGACAATGAATGAGGTGTCTCAGAGTCAGCTACACCCAGGCAATGCCACACCTTTTAACTCCCAATCAATCCTTTTGATGTTTTGGAAGTTTGGCTCAAGACTCATGATTTAAATGGGGTTAAGTGCTGGAATCCTGACACACATATTTGAATGACATTACATCAGAAAAGCTGCTAGAGTAGTATCAATATGACTACATTTTGAAAGAGAAGAGTGGGAGGATGGAGAGAAACAGAACTAGGATGATTTCTCTGACATTCTGGGACATTCCCAGAAGTTGCTTTTAACAAAAAATGGCCCTCATTCTTATAATATGAATGAACTCTATAATATGAATGAGCTCTTTAAGGCTACTAACTGTCTGAAGTTTTCAACAGTTCTACTGAAGAATTGTTGCTCATTTCAAAATTGTTTTTCTGGGATCATAATGCCACTATTTCTCTAATACACACTGAAATTTTTGAGACATACCATAAAGAAAAGTGCTTTCAGCACAGCAAAATGTGTACAGTATTCTGATGCACAGACATGACTTTGTAACAAAGTACTGTCTTTATGTAACAATGCATTCCTGCACAGACATATAGTGGAACCTCGGGTTATGAACACTTCTGACCATGACCAAATTTGCTGACCACCAAAAATTTCAGAAAATTTTTGCATCTGGTTGTGAACACATCCTCAGGTGGCAATCAAACACAGCTGCGGAAATTTCCCCTGCTGCAGCAATTTCCCTTTCTGCGCCATTTTTTTTGTCCGCACATACACAGTCAGTCTTACTTCTGGTCATGACCAAATCGGGTTGCGACCAAAGTCCTGGAACGGATTATGGTCGTGACCGGAGGTTCTACTGTACCTACATAATTTCAATTGCAAAGATTTGCCTTGTCTGATTTCAGCATTTTTCAAAAGTAACGTTCTGTATTTTTAGGCTTTGTGTTATTGGCCTAACTTACAAATCTATCTCCAAAATATGAAGAAGTATAGGTATGTTTCCTCATCAAAAGGATCATTAAGTGTTACATAATTAACACTTAATTCATCACCCATTAAGTATTATATAAGAAGCAATCTATTTCTTATGTGGAACTCAACTATTCACCAAAGGACTCTTGAAAATAGAAAACGTACTTCAAGAAGATGGAGTGAATGGGATTGAATTTTGGGGAGCATTAGAGGTGTGTGTGTGTGTGTGTTTTTTAGATTAACTACTTTAAGACTTATGCTAGTTTCCATTGCTTTCCTATGTCAACATGAAGGAAAACAGTGCTGACAATTTTTAAATATCAGGCCCAAAAGAAGTTTAATTATCCCACCGCATATGTGTTAACCGGCAGTCTCTCAAATGTGGCTGAACTACAATACCAAATTTCCTCACTAACAGTTTCACTGACTAAAGTGAGTAGGAACTTCAGTTCTCCAGGAGGGTTATGGATTCGGCATAGGATGCAAGCAGTTTGCTCACTTGGCTCAAGAAATGTTTTGGCTGTCATCTTCCACCCACTTATCTAATTCCAGTCAGATTTTCTGAGAACTGCCAGTTCTGCACTTGGCATGGTAAATTCACCAAGGTTGGCTGCATTTTCCAAATACACCTGACCTCTGATATAAGCAGCTTTTTAGGGTGCAAGAGGGAAAGCAATGGAAATTACTGGTTGTACAATTTGAGGCTGTTTTGGAGAAAATTAATCATTAAAGCATTTTTTTAAAAAAGAAAGCTAATGGAAAGCTCACCTTCCACAGCTCTCTTTTCATTTCTACCTTTTAAAAAGAGAAACAGCCAATAATAGTTATAAAAACTGGCAATTTTGCCAGATGTTTTTCAGCAGTATCAAAGGCTCTTCTCCTGGACCCTGATAGCCCAAATTCCTTGACCAAGGGGCCCACAACCCGCCTCTTCTGTCAGCGTGGGTGGGAGTGCTAATCCTATCAGGATCATCCATATGTTAACAAAGGGTGTTACTATTTTATCTTTTAAAGCAGAGGAACAGTTTCCTATATAGTAGTTTACTAACTGGGAGAAAAGGTCTAAGTGGATCAGAGTCTTATTTTTTTCCTCCTCTTTAATCAACTGAAATTTATCCAAGCAGCAGCAAGTAACTGAGACTAGTCTTTTTTTTTTTTTTTTTTTAAAAAAAACCTCAGCAAAGCTGTTTTTCCTCTAATAAAAACAAAGTTCAGTTCCTTTTCAGAACAGGAAACTAGATTTTTGTATTTGCCTTGCAAAATAAAGATTAGGATGTGCTGACTTCAGTATTAGCACTGCTTTTCCAGAATGTTCCACCTACCAGAAACCTTTTATTATGTTTCAATTTTTTGCCTGTGGAGATTCTCAGTCATCCAGGTCATGGTTGTCTCAAAAGTGCTTTTTTGGGAAGCAACTGGATTTTCTTGTTTTGCTTTGAAGATGTTTCGTTTCTCTTCCAAGAAGCTTCTTCAACTCTGATTGGATGGTGTGGAATAGAAGGACCCTTCCATTCCCCACCATCCAGTCAAAGCTGAAGAAGCTTCTTGCAAAAGAAGCGAAAAGTCTTCAAAGAAAAACCAGAAAGTCCAGTTGCCCCTTGAAAAAGCATTCGTTTCAATTTCTTATGATGTTTCACTCAACAAAGTTTCGCCTATAGTGGAATCAGTGATTTGACCTACAAAGGATAAAATGGCTACAAAGATAAACCAATTTACAGAATATGAGACAATTGGGCTTAGGAACAAACCAAGTTTTTACTTTAGTAAATCTCAGAGACAATTCCATTAGGCACTCTTCCGAAACTGAGATGTACAAATCAAAATAATTTCTTTTCTCTGTCTTATACACATACACTCTCTCACACCCATATCCTATAAGTAGTCCTTGATTTACTACTGGTCATTTAATGACCATTTGGAATGACAATAGCCTCATAAAAGGTGCTTTATGGCAAGTAAATCTCTTCCTGCTGTTATCAAATGCTATGCTTCTATGTCCCATAGTTACATTTTGGGCACTTGGCAACTGGCTCACATTATGACAGGCTGTAGTGTCACATGACAGAGATTTGCGACTTTTTGGCTGGCTTCTGGCAAACAATGCCTATATGGGAGAATGGATTCAGGCTGACTTATCATGTGATTTGCTTAATGAATGCCATAAAATGGTCATAAAATCAGGCCTGGTTGTATGGGTACCTCAACTTACAATGGTCATGAGTTATGACTGAAATTCCAGTCACACTTTCAGTTGTAAGTTGAGAATTACCTGTACTTTCCAAATAACAGTACAGCCCCATTCACAAAAGAAGACAGAACGTCTCACTTTTTCTACTGCTTTGAGTTTGAACTCCTAGCTACATGTTTCTGCTGGCCATTTTGGCTGCAACTTATATTTTTGGGAAAATCAAGGATGATCGTTACATTGGTTGATTTATATTTCAATGCAAAGTAAAATAATTTGAATTTCTCAAATATGCACAGGGCAGAACACTGCTATAGAACAGTTTTACATTTCAAGTTTCTTTGAAGCTTTTTTTTTTTTTAAAAAAAATGTGTTTTCACAAAAATTTTAAAAAATTACAAAGATGTGAAAACACATGTGCCCCCAAATGCAAAAACTAAATAGCAACAAAATCACATCTGTTTTATGTATTTGACCCTAAGAATCTCTACCAAAACTAGGGTGCTAAATTAACCAACTTTATTGGCAACCTTTATTCAGCATGCAGGATTCTGCCTTTTGTAGCTGAATAAATGAACCCAAGAGAGGCAGTTTGGGGCAGTGGTGAAGGAAAGCAAGAGACTGTGAGTTCTAGTCCCATTTAAACACAAAACTAGCTGGGTGAATTTGGGGCAGTCAGTCAGTCACTCTCTCTCAGTCCCAGGAAGTGGGAAATCATTTCTTAAAATTCTTGCTAAAAAAAAACTGCGGGGACTTGTCCAGACAGTCTGGAAACTGACATGATTGAACAGAAGAAAAACATGTACTTAAATGTGGCATCGTGTTAACACCTACCCCCATTAAAAGAAAAAAACATTCCAAATGCCTATTGTCTGAATTTGTAAGATGCAAGTATCAATTCACTGAGGCTTAATAGAATTTTTTCATATATGCCTCTGTGGAGTTTCAATCTGAAGGGAATCAGACTTTAAAAATCCAATGGTAAATAAAATTCCATTTCCCCTCACAGCCAGACTAGGTGGGGAATTCATAATCACAACGAAATCATTTAGAAATCCCAAGCAACAAATACTGTACAGGAAAGAGTGTCAGGTGTTCACCTCTGACACTCAATAATTCGGGGTGGGGTGGGAGTGTGTGTGTTGCATAGAAGTTGACTTAGTACAGTTTAAACAAATAAGAGATTTTTTTTTCTCCAGGAAAAGGACAGTTCTGGGTATTAAACATGATTAAATAAAGGAACCGAGCCTTTGTGAATTCACAAATCCATCTAGGAGAAGTCAGCAACTCGTGTTTTGAGTCTTACCACCAAACCAGTGTTTTTTCAGCCTTAGCAACTTTAAGATGTTGGTTTAACTATGTTGGCTGGTTAATTCTGGGAGTTGAAGTCAACACTACTTAAAATTGTTGAGGTTGAGAAACACTGCTAGACTAATAGCTACCAGAATATCAGGAGCATTTATCAAACTGTTAGAGGAAAGTTTCTGGCAGCTAAACCAGTTTGATTGCCTATCTGAACCCTGACCTCATTTGAAAAGGAAAGGGGGTCAACAGATACTGGGTTTTCCCTACTTCATCTGGTTCCAGCTTGAAGCCTTGGGAAGGAAAATCTGGCCTCAAGCGAGAAAAAAACCAAGAGCATACACAAGCCAATTTCTCAAAGTGTTTTGCTCCTCTGATTCATAATTATTTTGTTTTAAATATAGCATTTGCTTCAGTACCTACCTAGTAAACTTGCTTCCCTCCAAAACATGAAGGATTCTGAATTATATATATATAGTGTGTGTATATATGTGTATGTGTTTTCTTAAGTTTTCTTTTATATATATATATAAATGCATATATATATATATATATAAATACTTAAAAAAACATATAAATGCATGTATATACATATGCAGTTCCAATTTGAGATAACTGTATTTTAACTTCAAACATACTTTGAGATGGATTTAGTCTGAACACTGTGATAATTTATAGATTTATTTATTTAAATTTAGGGCCTGCCCCACCATAAAACAAGACAAAAGAAGTACAATATAGAGAAAAATAGAAACACCCATACAAAAAATAGAGAACAAGAGAGTGATATTGTTGATGATACTGAAAACCACCAAAAAAATCAGAGCATGAGAACAGATGCCCTACCTCCATCTTGGTTATCTCCATACTAAAGTTGATGTGAAACCCAACTGAATCAATTCTCCAGGTAGATAATCTACTCCCTCCAGGGTTCTAGGCATTTTAAAAAAATCTATTTTTATAAATAACTCAAGGTGGCGACATTTCTAATACTCGTTCCTCTTCCTATTTTTCCCATAGCAACAACCCTGTGAATTGAACTGGGCTGGGAGGGAAGGATTGGCCCAAAGTCACTCGGCCCTCATGCCCAAAGGGGGACCAAAGCTCACAGCCTCCTGTTTTCTAGCCTGGTGCCTTAGCCACTACACAAACTTCCCTTTTTAGGAAACACAAGGATAAAACCCCTGGGTGCAGGGACTGCCTCTTGAGGGGATGCACTTCCTTCAAGATTCCCTCAGAGAAGCTGCCACCACAGCACGGCTCCAATTCCAAGTCACCTCCTTGGCAACCCTAATGACCCAGGAGGGCCACAGATCCAAGAAAAAACTGTACTGATAGAGCACCTTAGTATCAGACAAAAAAATGGTATCCTATTTGTTGTTTCCAATGTTCTAGAAAGAGAAATTATGACTGTTCCAATTTTCTTCCATCATATATATGTAAAACTACTATCACTACTCCAACAAATAGGTTCATGAAACATTATCTGAGGTAGAATGCGGGGATGAAATTCAGGTAATTAAGAAAATGCCAGGATACCTTGATCAAGGTGTTGGTTATAGTTGGGGAACCAGGCTCAACCCCACTCTCAGCCACATAACTCAGTGGGTAATTCTAGACCAATTAATCACTATTTATCAATTCAACAGGCCCTACATGAATGTTGAGGCAGGAAAGATAAAAGGAAATCGAATGTTATGTACTGTACCTTGACACCTGAAAGAAATATGTTGTTCTATTTAATAAATAACAGATAACAGATAATCAGTGTTGAGTTGTAGGTCATCTAGTTCAACCTCCCCATCCACCTAAGCAGGAGTCCAAATGGCAGTCCAACAAATAAATAAGCAATCGGTTCTAACATCACATTTTTCTCCCATTAGAATTAAACTCTATGAATGTTAGGGGGCCATTTCTAAATTCTGAACTGGCTTTGGATCTTCTCATTACATTTATGGGGAATCTGAACATATTTCCTCCATCTTTCTAGGGATTTAAATCTAATTACTAATAAAACAAATAGCTAATTCAGCAACTGTAAAGCACAAGGTTAATCAAACTCAAATTCTCTTGTTTATTTCTAGCTCCACCTAGATAACAACTCCCTTTATCCTTGACTAGGATTATGTAGGCCACGTGTAAACAGAGAGCTGAAGATACATGAGAAACTGAGGGTAACACCTCTCAAATAGACTAACAATATTAATATCATTGACAGGAGTAAAATTGACTAGGGGTGCCTCAGACATATTTTTTTTTTAAAAGTTGTACAGCAAATTCTACATCAAGTCCAAACTATCCTACCCAGAGAAAACAAAGTGTGCTTTCATACAGTACTGGAGCTAAATAAACTAATTTGGGCAATTCAGGAATTTGGTGCAGCTGCAGCCTCAGCCTAAATTTAATGGAAACACCCTCTTCCATCCTGTTTTATATTCACAGGAACCCAATCCTGCTCTCTACTCTGCTGTCCAGGAAAAAAATAGGAGGGAAGAAACTGAGAGAAAACAGATGTGTTCCCCTAACCACAATTCTTCAATCTGGAAGAAAGACCAAAAAGCACTGAAACTTACAAAATTTCAGTTGCCCCAAAATGGGGCAATCAGGTTCAGCAAGCATTGTACCAGCAAAAAGTAAATAGCAACTATCAGCAAGTTATCTCGAGGTAGATTAGCAACACAGCCTATGGACATGGGTCGCCCTTTAACCTTGAGTTCTAGTTATATTTCTACACATATGCACAGTGCCCAGAAGGCGCCACGAATTTGTTGCAATTATGGCACAGCTTCAAAGAATGTATCCCTTAGTGCACATTATGTTGGGCCAAAATGTGGAAAGATTAATTCTAATATATGGTATGTGATACTGCCAAATCTTGCTTGCTTGGCTCTTGCCAAGTAAGCTAAACCATATCCATATCTTATTTTGGGCTATGTGCACACAGGACCTCTACCTTGCGTCTCTTTTACCAAAGAAGCATTTTCAGTTCTCATAAATAACATTTAACAACGCACAGAGCAGGGCTCCGTTCCAAGGCAAAACAAACTGGAAAGTACAAATATTCTTATAAATAAATTTCACCTTCAGAGAATAAAACTTTTCTCTGGATTTATTGAAAAGAACACATTCTCTAATTTTATTATTCCTAATGGAAAGTACAGCTAGTCCTCAACTTACCACCATTTGTTTAGTGACTGTTCCAAATTACATCAAAGGGACTTAAAACCAGTACTTGCACTTATAACAGTGGCAGCATTTCCAAGATCATGTGTTCAAAATTTGCCTGCTTGCCAGCTGGCATGTATTGACCAGCTTCCCTGAATCAAGTGACTGCCACTTGCAACCTTCCTGGTTGGCTTTGACAAGCAAAATCACCGGGAGAAGCTGGATTTGCTTAATGACTGCATGATTCACTTCACAACCGTGGCAAAGAAAGATTGTAAAATTGCATGTGACTCATTTAACAAACACTTTGCTTGGCAACGAAAATTCTGGTCCTAAAGTAGTAATAAGTCAAGGACTATCTGCACTGGATTTCAACTCTTATCACTCTACACCAATGGAACTGAGAGGACTGATGTGACGAAAGCACAATTTCATTGAAGAAACTACTGTATTTAAGTTCTCAATGATTCTGAATATTCATTTTAGGGAAAAATACATACAAAAGTAGCAGGGATACAACGTCCACAATTTACAGAGCACTGCTAGGAAATTATACTATTTTAAAGGAGCGGGGGAGATATGTGTACTGTATATGCTATAGCAATCCACGCCTGAATATAAACTCCTGCAATCAGTTTTTTCCAAGATCATGCACATGTTCCCAAACTTTTACAAGTCCTGTGATTGGTTTCAATTAATACAAAGCCCCATTCAACACCTAAGATATATATGGCTGTTTCTACTGTCCCTTCACACCATATTCCTTATGATCCTTCTGTGCGCCACAGAGTTCCTGAATACAACTGGAATTCATTCATTTTAGAAATATTCAAAGGCCTTCACTAAACTTTTGCTTGTAGTGTTCTTTAATCCTTTTCTCTGTACAGCCATTTGGGGAGGGAGGGAGGGGGGAAAGTTCAGCTTGTACCATCATCACCATATTCCTGTCACACACTTGGTACAAGCGTTTTCCTCTCTCTACAAAGCTGTTTAAATCTTACACATACTCAGCAGATTATTAAGCCTACTTTGGAGACATCTCCTGTGTCCCAGCACAGAAATAAATCCAGTTCAAGAACACTCTGTGTTAAGTTCTGCCTTTACCTGTTTTTTCTCTGCCCTTTTCTCTACTGCTCTCCATTCTCATCCATTGTTATGAAGCTGCTCTCCGTCAGGCACCGTTAATTGCTTGAGAAGTCTTTGCTACCAGGATCCAATTCCAGTTGGCAAGGAGGCAGCAAAGTTCCTCCTGCTCTCTGTCAGGTCTTGGGTGTGGGGAGTAAAACGGCAAGCAACGCTTGGGCCAGCCAAATCTCATTTCCCTAAGGGGAAGTCGAAATCATGACCCCTCCCTTGGAGGGGGAGGGAGGGCAGGGTTAAAGAGGTTGCACAGGACAGCCCTCCCAGTCAGGAAGTCAGGGCCTCTTCTTCCCTCCAACCTGAGCAGAGAAGAAGGCTGAAGCCTCACACACACCCAAAGCCACAGGGAAATACCAGAATAAATAATTTAAATACTCACAAAAGTACACAGCAGCTGAAGATGGCAAGAGAATCTCTCACACTCTTACATGGCTCGTCTTTTAGTTAGGCCTTTGCAATCCTATAGCTGCTGCTCCGACAAACGTGGGAAAAGATGAAGGCTTGGATTTTTGTTTCCATTAGTGGCATCACACTAGATGCCGCAACTCCACTAAAGTCAAAGCAGGAAACAGATTCTAATTCCTGCTTTCACATCATGGGACAGGGATCCTTATCAAGGTGCAATTAGTCAGTTGGAAAAATCAAACGGGGTCCTGTTTTATTAGATGTGCATGTGGGATGGGGCTGGAAGTCAGTACTTCAACAGCAGTATTAGGGAAAAGATGAACGCAAATTCCCGGCAGATGACTGTTAAAAATGCTGAGAAAAGACTCTGGTAAACAGCTTTCCTGGAGATGATTAGCTAGCAAAGCAAGCAAAGACCACAATGAGCTAATTTCTGCTGCCACGTTTCACCATAGAAGAGAGTTAACCATTAACTATTCTCTTCCCAGTCAATTGTTGGCTTGTTCCTTTTGGGCAATCTAAAGAGAAAGCTGTTCAGGAATAAACAGGATACAGGATGGGGAAAGCAGAACTGTATGGAACCACCAGTCAAAACAAACAGGTCTCTTGGGTTTTCAGATCCAGACTGTGGCCAACCCACCCAAGTCCTGTAATAGAACTGGAAGGTAGAGAGGAAGCAGGAGCCTGTCATTCTTGCTGAGCTCTATTGTTGACTCTTCCACCAGCACAATGAGCTCTGACTGAATGGGAAGGAGCATCTGGCAGAGTTTATAGGTACAGGTAGTCCTCGACCTACAACCATGACTGAGCCCAACATTTCTGTGGCTAAGCAAGACAGGTATTAAGTGAGTTTTGCTTCATTTTATAACCTTTCTTGCCGCAGTTGTTAGGGCGAGTAACTGCAATTGTTAGCTGTTAAATGAACCTGGCTTCCCATTTTGACTTCGCTTGTCGGAAAGTCGCAAAAGGGGATCACATGATCCCGGGACACTGCAACCACCCTAAAAAAAAAAAAAAAACCACCAGTCGCCAAGCGGCCAAATTTTGATCATGTGACCATGGGGGATGCTGTAATGGTTGTGTGAAAAACACCAGTCCCTTTTTTCCAGTGCCATTGTAAGTCCAAGCAGTCACTAAACAAATGGCTGCAAGTCAAAAACCACCTGTGTTACCTGTGACAAAGGAATTCGAAGAGCTACGTAGTCCTTTGAGCGATCTCTCAGGGGCACTGCAACCCCCAAAGCAAACAGTGTTGCAGTTTGTTAAAACGCCTCTCAATCGTGCCTCTGTAAAAAAGGGGCCAGGACAGAAGGAGAAAGATCCGTTGCAGGAAATGCAGACGCTGCTTTGCCCGCTTCACTAAGGATGACGTGTGGACAGACCAGTTCAGATTGTTAGTTATCCGCCCGCCCAGACAGATGTAGCTCTAGTGAACTGTTTAGAACCATGGAAACTTCGACCCACAAATATTTAAATCATTTTAATTCATCTTCCTTTCTATAATATTATGGTTTTCATCTCATGTGACTTCTGACCATGGGAATCACATGTCTTTCCACAAGAACAGGCAGGAAGGAAGAATGACTTGAAGGCTAGAAAGGATATCCAGAGAGATAACTGGTATTGATTCCAGAAAGGACAAATAGTTTCAGAACTGGTTTCTTGAAATGACAGAGGGAAAGAGAAGCAGAAGGTTGACAGTGCAATTTGGCCTAAATTGTTTTTATGCTGACCTTCAAGAAAGAAAGAAAAAAAACACCTTCCCTTCTTAAGCTACTTTCTTTCATGTAACTCAGACATCAACAAACCGCTCTTCAAGTTTCTGCCCACCATTACTTGCTTCAAACAGTGTAAGAGGCTTTAGGCAGGACTCTCCCATCGCTTCAGCTGCTCACTCCCATTTCCTTGCATTTTGGCTCACTCAAAGGAATGTCCAGCTGGGATGCATTGTAAGGGCAAAGCTTTTCCAAAGGCTATGTTGCTTAAGACGGAAGGAGAGTATTATTAGTCAACTGTCCAGATCC